AGAACAGTGGTTCCCAAACTTGGCAACTTTAAGACTTGTGGACTTCAACTCCCACAATTCTCCAGCCAGCAAAGCCAAACTTGGCAACTTTAAGACTTGTGGACTTCAACTCCCAGAATTCTCCAGCCAGCAAAGCCAAACTTGGCAACTTTAAGACTTGTGGACTTCAACTCCCAGAATTCTCCAGCCAGCTGGCTGGAGAATTCTTGGAATTGAAGTCCACAAGTCTTAAAGTTGCCAAGTTTGGGAACCACTGCCTTAGGATAATGGGGAAAACCTACCTATGTGGTCTTTAAGCGTCAGCAACCACTTGATGGCACAGCATTATACCACGGCCATGAAATGTAGCCACGTCATAGTAGAGAAATTAAAAGGGGGGGGAAGTAATGAGATTCAGCTCCTTGGGAATGATTTAGAACTGATTTGAAATAAGAAATCCTCAGTTTAGTTTTAAAACAAGAGTTTTTGCTTTTCTTCAATAGCTGATTGATGGTACCAAAATGTTCGCAAAAAATGAAAAACTCCAAAGAGCTGCGACCCCAGTAAGTCAACAGAACAACAATACTGAGTGCCACGCAGAATCAAGTAAGGTGGATTTTGCAATTCAGAAGCCGATTGTAACAACCCTCTTGGCTCTAAAGTCCAGCAGAATTACTTCAGATTAAGTGTCAGTCACAGAATAATGAGTTGGCAAAGGATTGGTGAGCATTTGAGTTCAACTCACAGCGGTTCTGTGTAACCTGTTAGCTCCCAATGGTGAGGCCTGAGTAATTTTATTTAGAGGACATGTTTAGAGGGCATAAGCAGCTTCAGATTATCCTTGATGGTTGCTATAGCCAATCGAAATCAAAAATACTTTCAACTTTCCTGCGGAGTTGGTTTTGATTTGTTAGTCTGATCTACCAAAGGGGGTTCCTATCAATCTTACAATCTCCTCCGCCTCCTTGCTTAGTGAATTAGGGATGTGTCTGACAGAGTTGCTTCCAAATATTATCTGTCTACTAGCCAATAACCCATCGTTGCCCGGGTATTTATTTATAGGGGGGAAATGTCCGGACCAAACGTAATTGCTAATGTTGGATTTTCCCCCTTGCCAGAGGGAGCCCCCTTATGAAGTACTGTGAAGTCGTTACCATGGCAACTCCACTGCGCTGTAAAGTAGAAGCCTTTTACAGCAGTACAGTAGAAGCCATTTTAAGGCACAATAGGCTGTAACTTAACAGAACACACACNCCCCAGCCAGCATTCGCTGGCTGGGGAATTCTGGGAGTTGAAGTCCGGACATCTTCAAGTTGCCAAGGTTGAGAAACACTGCCCTAAGGATCTAGGACCTATTCTCAAAACCTTGTTTTAAGTGGCAATCCCTTTCCTCCTGTGTTATAAAAATATCTCTTTAAGTGAAGCTCTTTACTTCTAGAATTGTAGTCCTGCATGCACTTGGGGTTTTGAAATCCACTTAATCCATGCAATTAAAAAAACAAGATGGAAAAAATGGCACCCGATTTTAATCTACTATGCCACTGAGCATACTGTTACAGTATTGTAGGCCTGCATGAAGTAATTTTTAGTCAGTAAGGATCCAGGATGTTTAACACACTAATGTTTCCAGCAGCTGTAGTTCAAAGGAAAATGCTTACATTTTTTTTTCAGAACCAACAGACAGACTTTCATTCAATCAGGCACAACAACAAAGAAGCAGAGTATCTCATGTAGTCATAGAACTTTTTAATACTTTACCCCCCCCCCCAAAAGTCCTGCATATACAGCTTAGATGATTTTAAGTAAACTTCACATGTCTTTTCTATAACCAAATCAATATAGTGTTTTGTGTGTTTTGTTTTAAATAATAAAACTCTTAGTACCACTTGTTAAAAATGGTCAGTGGGGAAGGGGATTAGATCAATCAACTCTCTGAAACAGAGAAGCACAGGTTATTCTCACGCACCACTCGAAGTTGGCTGGTGAAAATAAGTGTACTGTTGTTTGAAATGGGCCCAGAGATGGCACTTAGTGCTGGAAAAGTAAAACAAAAAAATGACACATTCTTTTTTTAAAAAAAGAAAAAAAAGACAGTGTTTCCACTCATTTCTTGATGCAACAACAACCCCAAGAAGATATTACAGTGGCTTTACATAAGTCATCAGTTATACAGCAACAAAGGAGCACAAACCAGTCAAAAATAATGAAGCATTTGAAAGTCCCACGGATGGCTTATCTGGTGAAAAGTTCTTCGAAGGCTCAACTTCAAGGGGAGGAGGAGGGGTGTTAAGAAAGTGTTTCCCCTGGAAAGTGCTTAGCTGGACTGTGCTCCCTATGAGGTTCTGACGCAAGGGGGTTTATTTATTTATTTTGCAATGGTACAGCGCCACACTGCACATCACAAGTGCATTAAGGTGTCCAAAGAAACACCCTCACATCACTGTGCAAAATAGGTTCTTTTGCAATAGAAATCAGATTGGGAGGGAGAGGTCAAAAGACAGAAAGGGGGGGGGGGTCATCCAAATCATATCAAGGACAGCAGGCACCAGACTCTGAGAAGTTTGGGAATTCTCTCCACCCCCCAGCAACCCAAGGGGAACAAATGATACCATTCTTCTGTGAGAAGTGGTTATCTCAAGAAGGGGGGGGGAATCTTTTCATTGTGGAGGGGGCTGAGAGGGAGGAAGCCCAATCCACTCAATCCCCCCCCCAAAAAAACCCTTAGAATCAGTCTCAAAGAGAGCAAGGTCCCAGTCCAGTGTTAAACAAACCCCATCCTTTTCTTGCCCCCCAAATTCAAACAATTGGCTATGTACACCCAGCAGATGCCCCTCCCTCCCTCTCTCTCTCAGCGTTTCTCAATGCAGGAAAACTCTCTTCCCAGGTGGAAAGGAAAACCCCGATTCAGTGCAAGTTTGAGGATCCCGATCTAGGCAGATCCCGTCCTTTCCAAGGGAGCGGCGCAGCTACAGCCTTCCCGTCTCCTCCTGCAGTTTTTTCCCACGGGAGATCTAAGGCGCGGCGCACCAATAGGCGAAGTCCAGTTCCTTTCCTCCAGCAAGGCAAAAAAGAAGGGAGCGCGTTCGGTTCTGTCCTTCGCGAAGGAGAACCACGGGCATTAAGAGAGCCCAGATCAATGAATGGGAGTTTGCATCAACGGGCGGAGGGGGCAAATCAGCGGTTCCCACCTCCAGCGGGGCGCTTTGCTCTCTCTCTCCCCCACCCACCCCTCCCCCGGAGAGTGCGCCGGTGCGACCCCTCCCCGGTTTGTTTGTTTGCTTTGTTCCGCGTGGGGGGCTCCCTCCGACCAGGCTTGAGGAGTCAGCCCCGAGTCCCCTCGACGCCTAGCCTCCCCGCCCCTTCCAGGGCATTATAGCACCTTGCAACAATTGATGCAACCGTTCTGGGTGCCGTAACGCTTCTGCAAAGCCGCCCGGGTGGCCGTCTCGAAAACCTCCCGCACGCCTTCCTTGGTCTTGGCCGAGCACTCGAGGTAATCGTAGGCTTGGATGCGAATGGCCATGGCCCGGCCGTCTTCGGTGCGGACGGGCTCCTGCTTCATGCGGGCCAGCTCGTTGCGGACGTGCTCGTCGTTGCGCAGGTCTTTCTTGTTGGCCACCAGGATGATGGGCACGTTGGGGCAGAAGTGCTTCACCTCGGGCACCCACTTCTCCGGGATGTTCTCCAGGGAGTCCGGGCTGTCGACCGAGAAGCACATGAGGATGACGTCGGTGTCCGGGTAGGAGAGAGGGCGCAAGCGGTCGTAGTCTTCCTGGCCGGCCGTGTCCCAAAGGGCCAGCTCCACCTGCTTGCCGTCCACCTCGATGTCGGCCACGTAGTTCTCGAAGACGGTGGGCACGTAGACTTCGGGGAACTCGTCTTTGCTGAAGACGATCAGCAGGCACGTCTTCCCGCACGCCCCGTCGCCCACCACCACCAGCTTCTTGCGGATGGCCGCCATGGCCAGGGTCGCCAACGCCGCCCTGCTCGGGTGCTCCAGCAGGGAGACCGAAGCGCTCCCTTCCCCGCGCCTGGCCGCTCTTACACCGGTCTCTTCGCCTTTCCCACAAGGCAGCGTGGCTCTCTTCTTCTGCTTCTCCTCCTCCTCCTCCGGGGAGCGGTAAAGGCTCTTCCGCGCGGCTTAGGAAAGCGGGAGCCGCCCACTTCGCCCGGGCCTCGCTTCTGTTCTTGGCTGGCTCCTCTGATGCCCTCTGCCTGTTTGCATGGAGAAAGGACTTCGGCTCCTCGGCTTCCCTTTTTCCAGGGGACGCGGAGGCAAAAGGCGGGAGGAACCGAAAGCCACCGGAGCTTTAAAGAAAGTGACTGCAGTTTTAGAGGGTTTTTTTCCTGCAAGTTTTGTGGCCCGGCTTTTTTTTAAAAAAATTTGGTCCAAGAACTGACTGAGTCGTCCGTACTTTAATGCCATAGCCGGGCGCCCGTCGGACGCTGCTATTTAAAGGGGCCGGCTACTTTCTTAATATAGCTGGCCAATGGGAAGGCAAAGGATGAGGTCATCGGTTTGGAGGAGGCGGGTGATTGGTGGAGAGTATTGCAGGCGCTGGGCGTGGGGTTGGGGGAAGCAGGAAGTGAGTGACAGTCGATCATGAAAAGAGGGAGGGGTCTTTTTTGCTATTTCGCGAGACCCTGATATCTCTCTCTCTCTCTCTCTCTCTCTCTCTCTCTCTCTCTCTCTCTCTCTCTCTCTCTCTCTCTCTCT